AGGATCAACTAAACTGGGAACGTCAAGAGCAGTTCAGTGACAACTAGACCTTTTAACCCACAGAATAAACAATCCAGCATGAATTGAAGGTCTTAACCTAGCTTAGGGATAAAACAATTTCAGCTCCTGGGCTGAAAAACTCTTTTGTGCTATTGTTTGAAAATCTTTCTTAGACGTCACTGCCCAATCGTGTTGTTTTACCTTATGAATCACAGCCGGGCAGTGTCCCCTGCAGTGAGGGCGCCTCCGCCTTGCTCACTGAGGCCCGTCACCCCTCATCAAGCTCCGCTTCTCCCCTCTGGCCCCAACCTGGACAAGCCCGTTCCCAGCGCATCCTCTGGGTCTTTTCCGGGCTGTGAGCTTCAGAGAGCCGAGGCTGTCCGCTTCTTCCTCCCGACCCCCCAGCTGGCTTCTCTCTCTCGCAAGAGGAGGCTGTGGCAGACACTAACGCATACCCTGGAACCCCAGCAGCCTGGGAGCTTCCCTAAGGGGACTGCTGGGGAGCAGGCACAGGGCAGGTTCACTGGCTCAGGCGGGATACAGCAGCCCCCGCGGCCCTGGGGCCTTTCCAGGCTTTAACGCTCTTTCTACACCAGTTGTTGTGGGGTCTGAAGGCCGCGAGGCAGGAGCCCTCCAGGCCTGGTGAATCTTCCCCTGGGCTCTCCCGCCTCGTCTCATGGCTCTGCCTCTCTGGAGTCGCTGGTGCTCTCGTAGCCTGCCACAGCCAGCCCACAGCGTGAGCCTGTGGCCCAGGGTGCACACGCCCACATGCCCGCACGCCCGCACCACACTCAGGGCGGCACCCGACAGTCCCATGTGCCCACGCCCACGCTCCCGGGGCCTTCTGCGTTCAGGGCCGCAGGGGGTCGCCACAGAGGCCGGGTAAGCCTGGCCGTTCACTTACCCGACCTGGATTGACTCTGCATTGCCGCTAACCTCCTCAAAAGGCTGATCCAGATGAGGTTTAAAAAGATAGAAACAGGGACCTTTGTTTTCGTATGATAAAATTAATATATGGTTATTCAGAATTGTTTTGCTTATGAGATAAAAAGAAAGGAAACCTGCTCGTAAGACCATCCTCCAGAGAATGATCGCCAACATTTTCTGCTTCACTCCAGTCTGTTTCTCCCTGTGGACACAGACTTCGACCACCACGGCGCCAAGGGCTTGCTGCCTGTGTCCCGTCTTGTGTCCCCGCTTAGCGTGACTTCCTTTCCATGCCATCAGAGAGCTTTGTAGGGCTTTTTTTTTTTTTTTAAGATTTATTTATCCATGCATACAGAACTCTCATACAGGCCAGAGGGCAGGGGCAATGAGAGGCTTCACCAGAGACAGAGTGGGGAGCAGAACAGGCCGAATGACGAAGAACACTGCCGAGGGGAGCAGCGGGCAAGACAGGAGAGGTCTGCCGCGCCATGTGGTCACCACCCTGGCCAAGGATCGAACTCATGCTGAAGCAGCTGCCGCTAGCTTCATATCGCTGTGCTTTAACCCATTGTGCCATCAGGGAGGGCCTCATTTTGCTTTTGATGGCAGATTTGTTTGGCCTCGGCAGATCATGATGGCTTTATTCAACTCACCCTCCAATGTTGGATTTTAAAAATGGCTTCAGATTTTATTTCACTATTTCAAGGTCTCACTATTGCAATTTAGTTGAATCTTGAAGGATGAGCAGGAGTGGATCAGGAGGTTAGACGGAGAGATGTGTGTCGGGGAAAGAAGGAAGAAAAGGTCGTGCACGCACACTTAAGAGGCTGTGCAAGCTTGGGGAGCTATAGATGCTCCCCAAAGTGCAAAGGTGGAGGGAGGGAGGAGACACCTGGCAGAGGCTGCAGGTAACGCAAGAGGAGACCCTGACAGCTCGTGGGCAAACCTGGGTCCACATCCTGATGGGGTGTTTGAACTTGACCCAGTGGATAACTTGAAGGGGTGAAGAACTACATGGTGAGGTCCTCTTGTCACTCCCAGCAGTCTGGATATTGGGGTTGGGGTCAGGGGGAGCCCAGGTGGAAGGTCCCCAGCACACAGCAGCAGTGTAGTCAGGAGACTGAGGCCCAGAGAATGTTTAGGAGACCAAATCATTTAACAAATAGGAACAACAGGTAAGAGAATAAAACGTCACATGAGCCCAGAACAGGGCTATTACCTTAGGAGTCGTGGGCTCCCAGTGCCCATTTCTTCCCCAGCAAGCCTCAGCCAACCGGGGCCCCTGAGTCCAGCAGGCAGGCAGTTGCTCCTTTAGAGGGTCAAAGTAGGTATTTCAGAATTTACGGACCACAGAATCTTACCAAAGGTGGGAGCAATTCTTAGCACTGGTCCCCGTCCTCTGCTTCTCTGTCCCCATCAGAAACAAGCTGAGAGTCCCCCTGTTGGGGACATTCTCACCGCACTGGGGCCTTTCTATCCCTGCCCCCTGCCTCCTCTGCAGGGTGGTTTTCAGTACTAATCATGGGTGGTCTATAAAAATCATTCTCTTATTTGTCCTTCTGCTTTAAATGAATTTAAAAATAGATTTCCATTTTAAAGATTTCATTCAAATTGAGTCAAAATGTCACTTTCCAAGTCGCAGCTTTTCACCTGGCAGACTTGCATTCTTCTGCATGATTTGAAACTGTGTGTAAAGGTTATCTCCGCGCGGCACATGGAGTGATGGGGTGACATATCACAGAGCTGTCTGCTCCCCCTCCCCCACCCCCCAGCGCCTGTGTGGGCGTGGTTCTGTGCTCTTAGGGATTCACTGGTGAAACAAATGTGCCTTGCTGGGGTCAACTCCCACCCAGCACCACTTAGGGCCCAATGTTCTCCAAAGGTGAGTTTTAGAAGCATGTGATTTGAAGTTCACACATGTAACATCTGCAAAAGACTTTTTCCAGAGAAGTATTTGCTGTCACACAGTGAAGATGGAAAGAAAGAAAAAATCAGGTCAGCTTTCAGTCCTCTGTAGGTTTTAACTTCTCTGTGGACAGTGCTCTGCCTAGTGGCCAGCCTCTGGGCGGTGTTCCTGGCCGCCTGGCCGAGCTCATCGCTCTTCCCAGCGCTGCTTTGCCAGCTCCCCCTGCCCAGAACAGCCTACCCTCACCCAGCCGGCCCTCACCCAGCCCGCCCTCAC